TCATATATATTCTCTTGTATGTACGAGTTGGCTTGTCAACTCGAAGAGTCAAACCATTACAGACATTGCCATGTACTTTACGGGAATACTAGAAGTAATTAAATCTCTACAATTTTTCCTGTAATGAACTTTTCCAGGAAGGAGGAAGAGAATATACATGTATTTGTGAAGCTTGACAAAAAAAGGCACGGGGTTTACAAATGCTCTTTGGCGTGTGCATAAAAAGAGAATAACTATCTCAAGTTGCAAGTGTGAGACAAAGCTACATGGAGCTGCATTTGATATGCAAAGCACTGTGTGCAGCGATGATAGCAGATTCTGGTTATAAGGCGTTGTAATAATAAATATAATATATGGGGATTTGTAAAGCGCACATTTTAATAATACATTACTCAGCAACGTTACGATTAACATGGCGAAAGATGTAAACATCGCGAAAAATACCGTTGGTGCGGGCATTCGCAGTCACCACGACACACGCCTCCCTTTTTTTCAATACATTGTACATGTATATCTTTGTAATTTGTTTCGACCATTCATGTTATAACTGTTGCAAGATATATCCATGTATATGAGACCACGGATCCTACACACAAGGATTAACGACTCGGCCCAACTCCTGGTTAGACGCGTGATAACGGCCTGTACTGGTGGCAAATACCATGAATACTTTTCAACAAAGACCTCTGCGCGCGGTGGCTTTCAGATTTGCAAGGCTCTTCGCCCGATCTGGCCTCGAACTATGTCAAGCCAGCGAATTATATTTTTGAATATTCATAAGTCTACGATTTTTGATCTTTATTATTTAATTCTGATAAGTGATAACTTCATAACCATGGTAACGCCGAGCACAATATCTTTAGCTTTAAGATGAACGATGAAATGTCGCTTTTGTTTCATTATTTCCCGGGTAAATACTTCATCTATGACGACAAAAACTGCACAATACCATCTGTTATATCCTGAAGTATTTATTTTGTAAATAATTTGGAACAATTATATCTTAAATAAGAAGTAGTTTTATATACTTACAGTTTTTTGAATATTTCCGTTTTAGGTGTGCAAAAACCCAACACAATGGCACATCTGGAAAATTCGCGATTACGCGCCAACGAGCATTAATGCTCGTTATCACGTGTCTAACCAATTAAGGCAAGTCCACTGAGTGCACTTTGTATTAGAGCTCAGAACAGTCGTTTATCCTGGTGTCTAGGATCCGTGATGAGACCCTGGAGCTTTTTCTCTCGATTCAAACAGTGTTCAATCGCCTTCTCGTGGGTCAGACAGGAATTTTCTAGAGTATTTTATCCTCAGATTATGGTACCAGCTTTTATTTCAAATTTTTCGCCTATCTCAGGGTCCTGCGTATCACGAAGATTTCATGACGAAGCTGTTGAAGCCACGATGGCTAAGAGTACTCATAAACGATCAGATAATTGGCAGTCGTTTTATATATATCTTTTTTTTCAGTGCTTGTTTAAATTTGTATAGGCCTAACTTATAGTTTTACATTTATCAAGGGCGCGGGTGACTGTACCAATTATTGCAAGAGCTTATTTGTGCATGATTAATTTGGTTTTGTCGTGGCTAAGATGAAATTACGTAAAGGAGAATTCACAAGGAACTGTAGATTCGTGCTAAGAATGGACGAGGCGAATCTTGTACGAATCTACAGTTCCGAGTCTATTCTCCAACTTGAACTATTTTGCTGACGTCACACTATTTGTTCACCAACAAAAGTGCAATTAAATCAGTTTGTCGATTCACCTCGTTCTCCGAGCTCCCGAGAAAATGTAGATTCGTAAATTCTATACAACCTTTCCCTTGCCTTCTTTGCTTTGCTAATTGATAAACTGTTGGATGCGTTCACTCTCTTTTATGGATTCGCAAAGATTGCGTAATCGCTATCTTTGGGTAATTGTGTTATTCCAAATTGGTGAATATAAAGTGTAGATTCGCAAATTCGCTACTCTGGAATACAAAATCCGATGGGGTATCGATTCTGTCATTAGTCGCAAAAGTAGTGAGCACTCTGTCTGACAGTGATAGCCCAAACAGCTTCCCTCTTACTCAGAGTACATTCAAAGCTACTAGCTCTTCTAGCGATTCGCAAGTTGCTAGGCCAGCAGCCAATTTTTTTCTGATATTACAAAATGTCCCCAAAGTGGAGGCAGAAAGAGTGTTGCTATGATAAATCGATTCTTTTCTCCGAGATATCCGACGAAGACGTACAATCAGTTAGTACTCAAGGAAATCTCCAAAGAAAGCCACTGACTGATGAATATAGCAGATACAATCCCCCTGTGGATGACATCAAATTGTCGGGGGAAAAGTATATAGATTCACCGTTGTGTTTTTGTCTCTCAAACTTTATTAATGTGTTTAATTATCATACACTGTACTATACAATTATGTATAATCATACAATAAAATCACCTTTAAAAACTTGACGGGGCCTCCCTCCCTTTCTCGAGTGATCGAAGCATGTTATTTTACATAACATTTTTATTCTTTTGTTTATATATGTCTCAGATACTCAAAGGCAACTGAGAAGAAAATGTGCATGGGCAGTTTGCCGAGCCTTCAACGACTGGAAAACGCAGGGGAAACAACACGCCGTACTGAAGCCTAACTTAAACTTGAGTGTCATACGGCATGAGCTACTCGAGATGACAAGTGATGAACTTTGTTGCTTCCTCATCCGTTTCGTACTGGAGGTGCGTAAGGTCAACGGAGAGGAATATCCCAGTGAAACACTCTACGCATATGCATTCGGCTGTACATGGCAATTCATGGACAGGAGTACCAACTACTTCAAGACGAATAATTTGCCTCATTTATAAACACGCTTGATACCAAGATGAAAGAGTTTGGGTTTTTTTGTTTGTTTTTGTTTTTTGCTGCAGGATATAGAGTGAAACGTCGCAAGGCAGAGATAATCAGCATAGAGGATGAAAACGCCATTTCGGAGAAGATTCTTGTACCTGACACACCCCAGCAGCTGGTTGATACTGTGCTTTACCTATTCGGGATCCACTTTGCCTGCGGGCTGGGGAAGAACACCGACAGCTGCGTCACTTCAACTCTCAAATCACTCTTCATGCAACCAGCGATGGAAAACGGTTACGTCGATACACTGAAGACGTGTCGAAAATTTGTCAAGGGGGCCTAAACCATCGAAACGTCACATATGTAGATGCGTAGATTATGAAAATCCCTGTGACCCATGCATAATGCCACACTATGAGAAATACGTAAGTCATAGACCCACATTACCCATCGTCCCATCGCCAGACCAAAGAATTATGTCTGGTATAGCTGTCAACCACAGCGCATTCAGCAGCTTACTAAAACTGTAAAATGATCAAGCGGGATTCCAGGGATTATCACCACTCCCTTCGTGCCACGACTGCGTCTCGTTTGTACCTGCAAAATTTGACGAGCAGCTCATGTGAGACCGTGGGCCACCAATCATCTGCTGTCCGATCATACAAGAGGACCATGCCACAGATGGGCAACGACAAGCCATTGGTAATGCAAAGTTCTATGACCATGTTGCACGTCATTGCGCAAAATTTGAAGCAATCAACTTCAATTAGTTTATTCACACTTAAATTTACTTTCAATTACACTGTTGTAAGTTGTACCTTAAATGCTGTCGATAACATAAAAGTGCATCATTTGTCAATTATTTTTTGGTAAAACTTATGCGTTGAAATGCATACTGATTACTTTTGTATTTCATTTATTGGTAAAAACTTATGTCGTAACACAAGCATACAGATTACTTTGCTTTTAGTTTGTCGTGAATTTAGTTGTTTTGTAAAAAGTACGTCCCTGTATTAAACGCAGCACAACAGGGTGGGAAATGAGTGAAAAGGTCGTTTGACATGAAAAACAAATTGAAACCGTATAACTTACAACAGTTACTATAGATTTGTACATGCGTACTGTAGATTCTTAAAATAATCTACAGTAAAGTTGGGTTCTTAAAATAATCTACACTTAAATAGACATTCTCAAACATAATCCATCCTTTTAAAAAATAGTTTGACCTCGGCAAAATAGTTTAAAAGGTTACAAAGAACAGGAAACCATTCTGAAAACACAAAAGACGCAATTTTAACATCGCTTTTGTGTTATGATCAAATGTCTGTATGTCTGTTAGGCCCACAAAAAAAGTCTCCGGTTTCTGGTATGCGCGCGCGTCGCCGTAGCCATGCGCGTCGGCGAAATGAAAAAGTTTTTTTTTCAATACAAGATGATGTCTCAAAACCGCCAAACTCAATGATTTGACTGGAATCCTGCTGCTGCACAATTTTAAAGTGTTTTTAGATGGGGTTGTGATCGAGAATAAGCTTTATGAGGCCTCTCTGGACTCCCGTATATTTGCACTAAGTTTAGTCGGGCACCATTTGCAGTCATCAGCCGACATTTGAAGCAAAAAAAAACAGGTAAAAAAAAAAAAAAGCCGCGTCGCCGCACCACTTTTTGGGCAAGCTCCATACCAGAACCCGGAGACTTTTTTTGGGGGGGGCCTTAAGGACCATGAGTTTGAAATTCTTGCTAGTTTTTTAACAAGAAGTAAATTTCTGTAACAACCACCCCGACGGGAAAACTTTCATCATTCGGCTGATACATACACACTCCTCGAACAATTAATCTTTAGTTCACAAATGTTCATTGGAGGCTCATAACGCAAAAAAAATTCGTCTTTTTCTATATAAAAAAAAAAAAATACGACAGGATTCGAACCCTGTAACATCCAGAAAAGAGTACCGGCTTTCACCGACCTCCCCTCTGTGCTGTTTAGCTCATAAGGCCCCATAAAGGTACCTCAGAGGCCGCATCTTCAAACCCCACTCAGTCAAATTAAACATTTTACTACTACGTTAAAAAAAAAACGGTAAAGGTCCGGCATTTTACATTCTGAAGTCTACAGCCGCTTAGCTCCTTACTCAGAAAGCTCAATGGACGAATAAAAACATGTCTTCACAACGTTTTGGTTTCTATGGTTTAAAATTTTATTTCATGCGAAATAAGAATACGGGTTCAGCAAACAAACTTAGGTCTTGCACTCAGACACAATTTTACGAACGTATAACCAACAAAAGAAAATAAGTCTAAAAAGTCTCAAAATAAGCTTGCTAAAATCAATCTACTTATATTTTAAACGGAAGCTTTGAGCAAAAAAAATATTTCGCTTCAAATAAGCAGAAATTACTGCTTTAAAACAATATTTCATTTGTGTTTCCATAAAAGCTGGAGGGAAAACATTTTCAGACAAAAATATGTTTAAATGTGGAGACCACATCCAAAAATAAATCTTTTTCTTTGAAACAATTATAGGCTTTTCTTCAATTTCCTTTTAAAGATCATACCTGCCTCTTTGAATATTTGGTATTAATTAGGTGTAACATAATTATTTTACTGATTTCGTTGCTTACATTTTGTTGAACTCATTCTAAATGTAAGAGAATATAATACAAATATATATGAAAATATCTGTGGTCACGGAGTGTGCCACCCCGAACCTGGTAACATCCTGATTTCTCTTTCAAGTTGTATTGCCAATTACAGAGCATCATCTGAACTTCCTAATGAGTAACGCTTCGTTATCTCAGTGCATTTTCGTCAAAAAAAATATTTTTTTTTTAGCAGGTTATAAATGCACTGATTTTTTTTCAGCAAAGCACGAGTATACAGGCAGTTAACAAAAATAAGGAAAAACATAATTTGATAAAAAGATCATATCATTGGTATACTAAGTATCATTTCTTGAATAGATATATTTAGTCCGATATAGTGCTTGGTATACACAATCGAAACTATATTTTACTGAATGCTTTTTTTTCCAAGCATAGTGTCCAATGAGCAAATTTGAAAATAAAAGACAAACACCATCCCTTTAAAACGAATACGACACTATCCATAGTTGTTTTGTCAAAATGAAATGTTCTTGTCAGACATGATTAATGTTGACACTTGCAGCATAAAAAAATGGTCTCGTCTGCGACCTGTCGTGAGAATAATTGAAAGCTGCAACTCCGGTTGAATCCAGCCCCCAACTCGACCCTCAAAAACCAGCGATGACAAAATACCTCGCCACATCCTTCAGGTTTCCATCCCAATAACGTGGGGTTTTTTATTATTATTCCTCCGGGACATCATAATTCCTTGATGAAGACGCCAGCTATAACGGAGACTTTTTTACTCAAACTTGAGTCCCTGGGCTAGCGGCAGATCATCTCCGTAGTTGATGGTGCTGTGGAAAGACATAAACGGGGAGAGAGGTAAAGAATTAAAGGAGGAAAAAATATCAATCATCCAAATTGACATTTCGTCGGTTGTGAAATAACCTCTCTAGTAGGCCTACTAGGGCGAATTGTCTCCCTGCCAATAAGCTGCGGGAACTCTAGGTGTAAAAAGACAAGCCAGCCGCACCGGCCGAGAAAAGGAGACACTGGAAAAATGGGAGGTTCCGAGGTCTGTAGTTTGCAGTTAAAAGAACAAGATTTATGCTACAAACGCAGCTCTCTAACGAAACGACTGTTGCTTTACCAATCAAAATTTCTTGTGGTTATTCTTTGGTTCACACTTCATGCGATTGCGCATGCGAAGTGACTTTGACGCCACGAAAACATTCGGGGCGAACTTCTCCAGATTTGAAATAATGCTCTTCTGTTGTGAATTCTCGGCGCAAATACAGCCGTGACGTTGTAATTTTTGATTTCGCGTTTGCATAAGTGCCGAGTAGTACGAATCGGCCTTATCTGAATCGGCTTGCTTCCTGGTGCATTGAAACAGACAAAAATACAAGACATCAGTGAGGATTCCACGGGGGTTTAGGCGGTCAACACCTTCCCCCCCCCCCTCCCCTCCCCCCTGGGCCGCAAAAAAAAATAGGAGAATCGTGCAGAAAACCGTCACATGCCCTTTTACAGCTAAACCCCACCCCATGACAAAATATGGATCCGTTCATGAGCCTCATTTAACTTCTGATTAATAAATATAAAAACAATGTGCACAATTATTGCGCTGTATCAAGAATCCTCGAGAATTTTGTCACCAAAAACAATCCATCATGCGCGTATTCACGCTAATGTTTTCTTTTCCTGGAGTTGTTTGACACTGTTTCACGGCTTCCTCGCTCAAGAAGAAAGATCAGGGGTTAACGCCAGGCCAGGATGCGTGTTGGGAGTTGGTCTTTATAGCAAGACCGAGATCAGAGTTCCGAGGATAACATTGAGACAGAAAGAGAAGACGAGAAACAACACCAACCATGGAGAAAAATGTTTGCGTCTAAGCATCTCCAGAGAGTCCCAATCAGGAAACGCCACGGGCAAATACTCTAGGAAGCTGAGGACGAAAACCACTACGGGGAATTCGGAACACCATGTACCGAACAAAACACGAGGTACAACTTCAGGAATGTCTGCTCACGAAGGACGGTAGAAAAAATAGCGGGGACCCCTGAGATTTGCAGAAGAGGGTCTTGACTATCCACACAAGAGACTCTGTCAAGAGCAAGTCGCGATGTAAAGACCTCTGAGGAATCAGCGCGTTCCTTCAAGCATTTCTATTGTCTCACATCGCTCCTTCAAGTCCCGGATTTGATCGGACTGGCCGTCATCGTGCGCATCCGCTCCTCTCCGTAACCTGCCCCGGAGCTATCTCGGCGGAAGTCGGCCCTCTGCCATCAACGGAAAGTTACGCGGGCCGCCTGGAACAAACGCGGTCGCCTGTCAAGCTCGCATCGTCGGGATACATTGTGGCCGGACTTGAAGCTTTATCTGCATCGTGCGGTGCCTGATGATCCTCATCATCGAAACCTAATATCTTCCTAACACTCTTGTCACCGCCCCGAGCCCACAGATCATATCTGCACAATCATCATGTGACATCGGCCAATGCTCAATCTAATTCTCGATGGCCAATAACTCAATCTCTTTTTCCCCCTCAACCGCCCAGGACATTATTTTTATCACTTCTGCTTTCCCCTCCGTGCTTTCAAGCCGATTATCTTACTGCCAATGGGGGTGCAATATTAATACGATCCGGCGCGAGAAGCTCATTTTTAACATAAGCGGAAGCTAAAAAGTGATTAAAAAGATTCTAAAACTCCGAGTTAAAGTGTAGATTAGGAAGAACTTTATTAAGTGCGTCAGGTTTCAGTGGGCGGGTTCTCGTTTCAATCTCGAGGACAACATATCTGAGTTTTCTCACAAAACAATCTTTACCAATCTTTACCATTCAAACAGTACACCCCCTCCCCCCCCCCCAAAAAAAAAAAGATAGACACAAAAAGGTGTATTCCTGAAATGGAGATTTAGACTTACGTGTGTTTTCGTTGACAATGCCCTGTTACAGATCTATCAAGATATTCGACACAACCCGAACAATGCAAACACCTTTACACATGGACTTCAACAAAGTGCTCTGTAACTGCAGAATCCATAAAGGCCAGTTCACACTCAACTAGATCGAAAATTATCACCACGAATGCTCGGTGGCATCAAATGTCTTCTCATTTGCATTCGGGATTGACGCAGCGACTTTTTGGGGTCCCTCATGTCGGTAAGTAATAAGATTTGGAATGAATGAAGCCCGGGCGTGAACATACAACAAAGACACCAATTCTAAAAGTCCGTATGGAAATCGAGTCGAATTCGATTTGGATTTTCCTTTTATGTCAGGTAAAGGTGGGGAGCGGAGGTCCAATGCATATAGACCTCGTTAACTCGTACAAAGCTGGGATATCTATGGCAGTTTTACAGCTAGGGGTGAAAACAGGCTTGCAAGGAATTCTGGGGCTTGGAAGGAACAACGCTGTTGTTGGGATAAGTTTATCAGTAAATCTACAACGAATCTCATGCTTGCTTCTTTCTTTTGGGTACATTCGTTTCCAAAGGCTGTGTGTGCTAATACTGCCAAATGTTTCGAATTCACGCAAAGGAATGCTTTCAATATTAGGTTCTAGCCACTCACAGAAAACAAAAATCCTTTCGCGTTGACGAGACAAACATTACGCATTTTGACTGCGATTCCAAGCACAAGATTGGAGAGAGTTATCAACAACCTTGTCTGGGTGGCTCAAACGATGTCCCACGATCTGTCCATGTTGAATCCCTGAAGTATCCAATAGGCGAAGGAAGGTTGACGGGAAGCTTATAGGTGACGAGTTATTACCTGCCAATATAATGTTGCTCTGAAGCTTCGAGAAATGCATCTCGTCTGGAAACCAATCTGTATAGGCCAGCAAGCTAAGGCAGATAGACGGACGCGCTTAGGGGACTCAATCATGTTTTGACTGCGACACATGCATTGATTTTATCTGTTAGTATTAGGCCATGAAATTCTTTTGAGACCATGACGCAAACTCAAAACTCCTTAGATTACAGCTTCAAGAAAACGCCTAGTGAAAAAGTTTGCCATACAGCTCTGTGGGGATTTCACTGTGCAAGGCATACTAAAGGTTGCCGTCCTTTGATACTTCTGAAAGGGAGCATGGAGGAAAATTGGCCATCGGGTGCTGCATGATTCTTTATTTTCTGCCCCAGGTAGTATTTATCTTTCCAAAATTAAGGGACACCTTCGTCCGGAATGTGCACTTGTGAGCTCTTAAACGAGTTCCTCACTAAATGAAAGTAGACAGGAAAATATTGGAATAGTAGAGTATAAACATTCACACAACTAGAGGCCTACATTGATAAACAACGGTTTCCGTGTAATCATCATTACACAGACATTTTGGTTTTTTAACATTTTTTTCTGCAAATGTGGATTTTCTGTGACCCATACCTTTGTAATACGGTAATTGAACAATATGAAAAAAAACACTAATTCGTATAAATCTACGGACGAAATTACACCTTTAACAGATTGCGGCTTTAACTGGTTGCACCTTTTGAACTAGAAATACCTTTAACTGGTTGCACCTTTAAAATGTTATCAATGTCTAACTTGGTACTGGTGGTCCAATAGCATGTTCCTCTCTGCAGTATGAATTTTTTGTAAAGCCTGCACATACCCGGCAGATAGAGGGTCAACACTGAAGCATGCACTCAATGTCAAATTTCTACGGCCTGAAATTATGAAAATTGAATTTGGAAGCTAAGAGCCCAAGAGCATACAATTTTTCGGAAGACGACAATAACACCCACTTACCAAGTGGCTCGCCTCATGTACTGTTTCCACGCATCGCTGCCCGACTCCCGACCTCCCCCTGTGTGCTTCTCCCCGCCTGTAGGATATGAAAATGAAATCAAATCGGTCCAATGGTTGTGGCATTATTACACTCACACATAGAAGCTCATCGCCATCAAAGTCTTCCAACCGAGACTCATGATAAGGTCCTGTCAGGGATCTTTCTGTATTAAAAGTGAGACCACTAAAGTGTAGGGGAACTTGTTTTCCTCTAACCGAGAGAAATGGGTTACTGTGAAGGTCATGTTTGTCGCAGTTGGCCATTTTAAGTGGTAATTTCTGTGGTAATATCTGAAATGATGCACGGTATTACAAGGCTCAGCGACATTATGCATGCGCCTTGCAATAGAAAGCCAGCTCACAAAACCCGATGTGAATAGTAACTTGCAAGTATTCACCACAATTAATTTATCGGATTGTAAGGATTCGAGTGATGATCAGCCTTTGGCTTAAACTCAAGTCTTTTCCTGAGACTCGATTAATGTCGAGCCATTTTCCTGTAATGATTGACATCGAGTTGAGTCATCACAAATTGAAACATGAATCAAAGTTATCATTGACTCATCTTGTAAAAACAGTTAAGTCTGTCACGAGCCAATATATATATGTAGCTCACACCGCTATTTATCTCAGGCATAAAATGACCAAGGATATTTCCATTCAACCCCCCCCCCCTTCACCCCCTTCACCCCTCCCCCCCCCCCCCCCTTTGGGATACCAGTTAATCTCAGGTTACTCCCCAGCTAATGCTGATACCCATTTATACTCCCATTTATACTTGGTGGTGGAGAGAGGCAAGTGGCGGTAAAGCGGCTTGCCCAAGGACACATATATGGCCAGCAGCTGGATTTGAACCCCTGACCCTCTGATCATAAAATCCTAAACACTAGGCCACATTCCCCTTTAATTCCAAACTACATGTATGTCACCACCCACTCCCACACAACCCTAGGGCTAGGGATATTTGAAGCTTCACAATATATCCTCCTTTAATCTCCATCAAGCAATAAAAGCCCATAAAAAAAGCCGCCAGGTCTAAGGTCTATGCCTGTACTGTGGTTTTTGTGGTCTTGTTTTCAATCCACACAACTTCATCCTGAGGCCCTGCATTTACATCTTAATCTATGTTTTCCTAGTATAATAAACTAAACCCATCTCCCCAGACCATGCCGCACAAATGTATCCGCTAGCAAATTACACACAACCCTTGAATGAATACAAATTAGGTGGCGATTTGTCGGGCAGCCATGGAAGAAGTCACTGGCACACGGGCTGATATTCAAGGGTGCTTATAGTTTAACATTCAACTCCTCTTACATAAAAAAAATGCACTTGACGAAGCGCTTTGAAATTGAAGCCCACATTTTGTCCACAAAACCTGTGTGTGTGTATGTGCATGTACATAATACCTGAGCACAACCAGACACTAAGTTACCCCGCCATAGGCAATGCAATGCAATTCTCAAATCAGGGTTCAAGTTTTCAGATGCACTTGCCCTGAATAATTATTTCTCAAGTAAAGACTTTAAAAAAAGAACACAAACAGGCCCGCCCTCGAGCCATGCCTATTAATCTCATCGCATGCAGGCTGCAAGAAATGTTAGAAATCTAGAGTTGAAGGAGAAAGGTGGACACACATAGGCCTATAAGGACAAATAAAACACTTAACGGTTTTCTTACCAAAGGCACCTCCGATTTCTGCGCCACTCGTGGGAATGTTGACATTCACAATACCGCAGTCCGAGCCCTTGGGTCTGCATTAAGTAGAGAGAAAATGTGTAAATACTTAAGCTGGGCTATGGTGATATAAAGAGGATGAACCAAACTGTGGAACACCTCTGTGTTTTTACTAGCCGCACTATTGTGCCCTGGGGTAGGCAAGCTGTATCAGTTTTCAAAGGGTCCCATTGCGGGACCTCAGACTCAGGGATGGGCTCGCAGACGTGTCAAAACTGATAATTTGAATCACATTGCCAAGATCGCGGTATTCACAGGAGTTTGAAGCACTCCCAAAGCCATGGTCACCAGATCGCCAGGAAGACAAACACTTTGACCAAAAGAATAGAGAACTTGTTATCGATGAAATCGGTGACAAAGCAAAGCTAAAGGTGACAACCAAGCTTTTGTTTTACATTGCATATCGGCATTAAATAAAATTATCTTAATCTTTGAGTTGATTGTCTCTTTGATTTACCATTTCAGCATGATTTCCTGATTTTTTTTCATTAAGGTTAATATACAACAATTGCAGACAACAAAAAACAAACCTACCAAATTATTATGAAATACCTTACTTGACTGTAAAGTGAATAACAGTCTCAAGCATCCTGTGATATCATGGCACCTGGTGTGCTGTCATTTTCAAGAAAAGTGGCATTTATGAGGTACATCATACAGAGATACGTATCTAGAGTAACAAGCACATGTATGATTAATACATGTACATTTTATAAGGAAAGTGTGCCGACAGCATCATACAATCCTACAGACTTTTCCCATTACTTTTTATTGAGCTACATCATACAGAGATACGTATAACTGTTAAGATGACACATCCATATTCAATTATTTCTTTCCACAAGGCAACACACTTTTTCTGACTCTTGGTCCATCCTCAGAAGACAGGCTACAATCATTCACAACCCACACGATAAACAAGTTTACATCATACATGTATGTCCTTTAATAACCATCCCTCTCTAATGCCCAATTTTTTTGTTTATCGATGTGCAACGTCCCAAACCGACAGGCCTGGACCTTGTTGCTATAGCAATGCGCCAGACTGATAACGCACATCAACTGTTCCCAGAAATGTCATCGACCGAGCCAGTTCTATTTTCGGACAGAACGATGTTACCCTGGGCACTTGCTTCACACTGACCACGTGTTGGACACAGGTGACATATTACCTGACCAGCCAATTAATTATAAACAGACTAGATGGCTATGAAGCCATATAGCCATTAATGTTTTAACTGACCCACGTACGTCAGCTGTGTCCTCATTACTTGGCAGAGCATAACACCTGGCACGCACGTTTCGGACATCCGGTAGGACTGCAGGGGATGGGACTGGATACGCCAAGCCGTTAAGCGACACCTCAATTAGACAAGGGGCTAGCAGGGACAACAATATGCGCTTGATTAAAAAGCGTTGATGAACGCCAAATCTGGCTTATTATATAGACTGCCTGTCACCAACGCAGCTGGCCAGTGACGAATATGACGAAGAAAATAAGAGCGAGCATCCAGAAGAGGAAGGAACGACAGCTAGCCTTCTGATTTCATAAGCTGCCAGCGTAGTGTGACAGACTTCCTTTGGCATGCCCGCCCAGGGGAACTTATTGCAAAAAAAAAAGGATCCACTCTTCTAAGTGTGGACAAGATTGAGCAACTACTGGAGTTGACAGTATAATCACCGAGGGTTTTTATTGGATGGGCCGGGATAAAATTTGGATCATTCTCTAAATTGGCTGGCTTGCTCACTGCAAGCATCAAGTTCTGAACAAACAAGGAGTTGCAGAAAGTGCAGTGATTCCTTGTTGGGGGACGAGTAATCAGAAGAAGATCCAAATAGAATATGATAGGAGTCATGCTGGAATCAAATGACTATTCTTGAAATGTGGAAAGTGCAATTATTGCTTGCACTCATCGGAATAGCAATGACGTACAATAAAAGCTGAGAACTTTTTCTGTGTGTTATTACTTTCAACGGTAGGCCTGCTTAAGTTTCTGCTGGGGTATAATATTCTACACTCAACCAAAAAGAAAGTCCCCCCCCCCCCTTTTCATTTCTATGAAAGGAAAAACATGCTTAGTTAAGTACACTCAACCGAAAAAGAAAGTCCCCCTTAATACTTTTTGTCTAACTCAAAAACTACTGGGCATAGCTTGCTAAAACAACGACTAATCAGTACAGAAATTCCTCAGCAATCCAGCCATACTCTTTATTTGGCCCGAAACAGTGATAATGAGTACGAATTTATGCAATTTAAGACAAATGATACCGAAAACAGTTGCACTTTTGTATACGTGCAAGTTTTGGTTCACACTCACCTTGCACATGTACAAAAGTGCAACTTTCAATGCTACAAATAGCAGTTTCCCGAACTTCAGCTTCGTCTCCAGCTTCGGCTTCATTTCTAACCCAACAATCATTGGAAGCCTGTAATGTTTCGCAAATTGAACTTCTCTACACGTAAGGCTTGGCGTGATAAAAATTTGATGTCCTGAAGGAAATCATGAATCTTTATTGAGTCATATCAGAGTCCCTGAAGTCAGGAATCTTAAAATATCCGTAAGAGACTTTGGGGGAGGAACCCTGTGACATTTGTCTTCGTATTAACTTGCCATAAAGGCCCTATAGCCTTTTTGTTTCATTCCAACTTTAACCCTCCAGGTGCTACTAAACATTCTCCGGTAAAAGCAAACCCAATATTCAATTCATTGGGGAACTTCGGAGCTCTTGAAGGTAGCCTGTGTAAACAGTCCTTCCGTTTAATGAAATGGTCGCCAACGGGCCACACTAATAATGCATGGCATTAGCAACATCGAATGGATATTAAAGGACGCTATAAGATCAAAAGGCTGGGAGAGATTGGAAACAGTAATGGAATGTGACCATGCCCAAAGTGAATAATGGCCGAGTACTCCCTTCACACTTACGCACACAAAGAAAACAAATCATGTATATTTTCAGAAACAGCTCTTCAAAAAGCAGGAAAGAGTTACACTGACAATCTTCCATTCCCTCTGATTTTAAAGCAAAACTAACAACAAAATTAAGAATCCCCTAATTATTTAATTGTTTCTTTACATAACATCAAAGGTAGAGTAGATCATTTACATTGGTGCACTTTTTTCAAAAGTGCTCAAAATCTAAAGATGGATGTTTAACAACTATCGTAATGAAGCGTTAGCTCTGTGAATGCTGTATATTTCGAGAAAACACACTGGATCTCGATTTCAATTCGAAAGTTGCGAAGTCGTGACACAATCCCGAAATCAGCATTCAGGACATGATTCTCTTCAACCAACGATTCTCACAAATAATTGCCACCACCCGCGCGCATACGTCCTGTCAATGCGCTTGCATCCATTCACGAATTCACCCAATAACAAACCAACTGCTAACGGAAATTTCCAAAAATGTGTCCCTTGACGCATCTTTGGGAATGACCTTTTATTTTCTTCAAAATAACAGCATGTTAAAAGGAATAATTTCACAGGGAGTTTGGTGTCATTACTATCTTTAAACCAAGTAAGCTTTTTAACAACAATAATTTGGTCAGTTACTTTTTGGATAGATCCAAATGGTATACTGTACCTTTAGGCCTGGGCTGCCTGGTAATTGTGTTAAATCCTATGTAACTTTTATTTGGAAAGAACAAAATGATCTTGAGGGAAAAAACAAGATTTGTTTTGGGCTTGGCTACCCACAATTTAAAGTAGGGTTTGAAGTTCAAAGTCTTTTCCTGAGGTGCAAGTCAACACTAATGTAAATTATTCCAATGACGGACGAGGTGCTCCATCAAACAGAGTGGATTTAACGCGGTGTGCATTTAGGACGCCACTTATTCAAATGCCAGTGGGGTGAACATTCATTCTGCATAAAATTGGAGCAGAATTTATTCACTGTCATTGACTATAGCTCAAATCAGAGTGAAACTTGGTGCACAGGAATTTTTTGAAGGCAAAGTCCAGACAACGCCCCACAAAAAAAACTATTTTTCATCACCATTTGGGACACTTCACAACACAAAGGAAATGCCACAATTATCTAGAAAACGTAAGGTTTGTCAAGTGGCAGCAGTTGAGTTGAAAATATGATACATTTGTACTTTAAATGGTTATGTTACCTCAACATGCGTCACACTGCCGGTACTTTACACCGCAATGATTTGCACGGGCACGATTCTGCAACATCAAGTTGAGTGCAATATTGGAAACTAGTAATGTGCATGTAATCAAACCACACTTCCCTGCAGCAACACCATAACTTAACAAAGAGGGCAGCAACGGCATCACAGATTGCTAAACTGGGGCAACATTCTACTTATAATGTGCCATATCTGAGATACTCCATAACCATATTAAGCCCTGGCAGGAGCTTCTACATGTCGCTTGGTGGTCGGTCGGTCGGTCTGTCTGTCTGTCAAGGTGTCTGTCTGTCTGTCTGTTTGTCCCCGAAAATTGACCAAAAATAATTGACCAATTGACCAAATGCTGTCGTCATAAAAATAAAATACACTCTTTGTGACGGTTTTCGGAACACAGAGTTTGTTTCAATCAATGCGCTTGCGCATTCATTTTGCATATATGTCTGTCCCCAAAAATTGACTAAAATAGGCCCCCTTAGTCTCCTACAAAATAATATAAAATAATAAAATAATAACAAACATTTTAATTTTCAACAAAAGTAAACAAAAATTTAAATACTTACACAATTCAGAAAGATGTTTATGAAAAATTGTAAATGGAGGCAAAATATGTGCAGTAATGTTATACAGTCACGTGGTATTTATCACAATCTGAAGTATGGTTTACCATATGTGCCATTGGCGTCGCATTTTTGGGCGTCGCATTTTTAAGCTCTGGCAAGGATCATTTTGACAGATTTCATGCAAGACTTTCATGCAAGACGGCCAGAGCTTATTGTGCACTCGCACTTGTCTTTTTGTAACTGTAGTTGACTGTGAAGAGATTCAAAGCTTGGAAACAGATTGAAAAACCTGACAACACTTTCCAATCAAAACACATCATCAACACAAAATGTCAAATTGGGCCGAGTATCCGATCTGGGGATGCCGTCAGTGTACTGCATCACAAGAGCATTAATTTCGAGATGAACTGAGGAGTGGGCGGCAAGGTTGATGCCATGGCCTTATCTACGCCTCATGGCCGAGGTGCAATTCCCGCCCGATGGGCAACTGTGTGGATTGAGTTCACAGTCCCTGCTGATACAGTCACAGACCCTCTGCCAGGATAACTTCTCTCCTGGGTGTCTTTGCAATCCTTGCTAAGGTTACGTGCATATCCTCGCGTCTTACTAGTTTCTAGGCTAGGACCTAAGGGGACTACAGGAGCACTGATCAGACCTCCACAGGATAAAATGACAACATGAGTAGAATGTGCCAATTGCAACCCACTTGGCACCACCGGAGGATGTAAACTTTGGTTACAATGCTTGAGTCCATGAAAAAAAGACAAACAAATACGCACATGACAGAAAACACAACCAAGCGTTCCATTTATGAGGCTTGCAGATGAGTACGCATGTAATTTAAGCTAAGCTAGGGGGTCCCGAGAGACTAGCTTAGGGCGTGCCCTAGACAAGCACAACAGTTTGCAAACAACTTGATAGTCAGGAAACCTGACACCCAGATGGTATGTCGGTGACAATGCCCTCTTTCCTGAATCTAGGTTGTTGATCTATATACACATGTAGGTCTACATATGTATGTCTTCTTCTAATTGAGCGCTAACTTCATGATGGAAGGCTACAGCATCTGAGAAAGACTACAGCATCTGGGTCATTCTATAAATTTGGGGTCCACTTTTTTCCCCGTCCCTGTTACATCTGACATCTATGATTGTATAATTCTGATGCACTCCTTAATGCAGTCATCCTCCAAGAGTGATTATGAACAGCAAACTACCTACCCAACAAATAAAACATCATTTGAAATCACTTTTAATGATGCTTGAATGGCAAATTACAAAGTACCAAGGTAACAGGGACGGGAAAAATGTCACACTTTGGACCCCAAATTTATAGAATGACCCATCTGTGAATGTCCAACTGAAGACTACAACATCTGTGAATGTCCATGGGTACACGTAGGTAAACTTAACCCACAGCTACATGTACACGTACGTACATGAGGGTTAAATGTTGTCAAGTTGGATGATACAAATTGTCCAATTTTTTGACCCAAAATTCTGGCATATACCGGTACATTGTGCACTTCAGGTATGGTTCACGTAGTCTCCTGTAAAGACATAATTCCATCTGAAATCATTTAAACACATGTTCCCCTGCCTCCAAGAATGTTCAAGGACACTTAGCCATCAGCCAAACAGCTAAAATCACATCAAATTTGATGTAAATGGATCCAAGGGCTGTATGTGCACACACAGATTCTGTTTTGGTCGACCAGTAGAAACACACTAATTGCATTAAGGTAGTAGTAACTGGCATGGAGTGCGTACCGATAAATTGGATGGACAACATACATGCACACGTAGGGATTATGGACTTTGTGCATGAACAGCACTTGGTGGGTTTTTTAACCACTTTCAATTCAATTCAATTCAAAGGAAACATTTATTTCCATACTTTACACAAATAAGTCAAACTAAGTTTTTAAATAAAAAAAAAGGTAATTAGATACAGTAAATAAATAATAATACAACAATGTAGTATAATGACTAGATTGTTAAATTAGGGTGAAGAGTATGGGGCTGTTCATATAAACCGGAGCTTGTAGAGAACAGCCTTACACATAAGCGGACAATACAGGACAGTTTACACAGGCAATAGGAACAAACACGAAAACAGTCAAGGAAACCAAAGACAAGACAAAACAAAACACGAGACGAGACACTAAAAACCGAGACAAATTGAATAGTTGCGATGAGGATAAGATAAAAGAGACAATGAATTGTATGTAAAGAAGAGATGTGGCTATGGAGAGTGGCTGAGGAGGGAAAGCTATGTTACATATTGTGATAGGAGCTCCTTTTTCCACTTTTGAGATCAAAGTGGATGGGACACACCGCATGCAAGCATTCGTTGGTTTGCGTACATGTATGGGGTAAAGTACGCTAGTCCTTTTTTTTCTTCTGAATGTGCACAAAGCCACAGCGTCTCCATGTGAGCATCAGGCGCCATTTGGCAGTGCGTTGAATGTCCCTGCCAGGGGTCTTCCCCTACTCTCCCTTTGTAACGGTTTATGGGGTGCACATAACTGATTTTATTCTTTACATGTAAGGACGAGGGTCAGTCCATTAATGTGGGGGGCCATATCATAAGTCCGACGCCTCATAGGTCCGACGCCTCATAAGTCCGAAATTTCGGACTAATGAGGCGTCGGACTTATGAGGCATAACATTTATTTATTCCGCCTCATAGGTCCGACGCCTCATAAGTCCGACGCCTCATAAGTCCGACAACGGAAAAACGAGGCGTTTAATTTGTCGGACTTACGAGGCGTCGGAGCTATGAGGCGTCGGACCTATGAGGCGTCGGACTTATGAGGCGTCGGACCTATGAGGCGTCGGACTTATGGGCCTTTATTTGGTTAGGGGATACGATTTTGTCGGACTTATGAGGCGTCGGACCTATGAGGCGTCGGACTTATGAGCGGACCCCAAATGTGGGATGCAAAAGTATGGCGTTTTTTGTGTCTCTGTTACACCTGACCTGTGTTATTTGCCATACAACATTACAATTATCATTCAAATTTACTTTAAACCATTTTTAGTTGTTTGGCAGGTATTTTGCTTTTATAATCACTCTTGGATAGGCATTAAAGAATGTGACCCGAATTAACAAAATCTATATCAGATGTAACAGGGACACACACAAAATTGGACCCCAAATTTATGGAATTACACACGCAGGCAAAAACATGGACGCCCGAAATGAACGTCTGGGACACGTTCTTATTCAGCCTATTGCAGCTATGCGATGTCACACACTGAGCCGACGAATTATAGCAACCGCGCGCGTGTGCATCGTGTCAATGCTTGCACGGGCACCCAATCAATTAAAAAGGAACTTTCCAAAAAAAGGTTCTTTAGACGCATCTTGGGAAATGACCCTCTTTTAGTGTTTTCTTCAAAATGACAGCATGCCAGAAGGAATAATTTCACAGGGAGTTTAGTGCCATTACTATCTGTCAACCAAGTATGCTTTTCAACAATAATTTTGTCAGTTACTTCTTGGATAGCTGCAAATGATGTACTCCACCTTTATAAGTTTGCTCAGCACTACGTTATATTCAGTGGCTTCACAAATTTGGCCACTCAGTGCCCCTGCAACTCATTTTTTCCTTTTTTTTAAGCAGAGCCGGAACAAAATGACTACAAAGTCTTGAGATGGATGTTAGTACGTACCCCAACCAACGGAAGAGATTGCCAGGATTCTTGGTGAAGAGACTACTAGACAGGCCTTGCTTGACTTCATTGTTCCATGCGATGGCTTCCTCTAAGTTCTAGAAGAAAGACACACAAAAATGTAACTTTAATATAAATAATATACAATGAAAATTTGAAACTTTGCGGGTTCTCGAACTGCCATTTTCAACTGTACAGTACTAACCTTAAATTCTTTTGCTGATATAGGCATGACTTTTGGGACAATCCCTGAACGAGTTAACAGTTTCTTATACTAGTACTTCCAGAAAGTCCTTGACAATTCCAACGAGCACAGCATAGGCAAGGTCAGTTGGCAGAGTATCGATACAAAAGCCCTTTTTAGGGGGTTGGCCTGGTACCATATTCCAACATAGGGGGCGCTCTTCAAAACTGATGATTATATGCTAACTATGCATTATGTGCCCCTGTGCCCCTTTTCAGGGCGTATTCTATGGGTTTTTGGGGCTTTGTTTTCATATTCCTCGTTTATATCAAAACTATCTATACCATTATTGGGAAATGGTTACTTCTAAGAAATAGAAAGATACTTTAAGGGCATTTATTTACCTCGAAGGGGCACTTTTATGCTCGAGGCGAGGGGGCACATTTATGACAGCAAAAGGGGCACTTGGGAAAATCTGGGGGGGGGGGCAAATGCCCTCCCAGCCCCCCCCCCCCCCCCCCCCCCCCCCCCCCCCCCCCCCCCTGCCTCGTACCATACTTTCTATGGGGCGCTGTTCAAATCCAACGATTATTAACACTATATATCACAGAAACGTGTACATATACCCCCAACCAAGCTGGCACCAAGCTGGCGTATTTTGTGCAGAGGCAGACATTATTACCAGTAAAAGAAATTGGGTGTCAGAGTGGGGGGGGTTCGCATTTTTTTTCATTGAATGTCTATGAATTTCTACTTTTTTTTGACAGAGCTGGGTTTTTTTTTTACCTCCCCCCTGGATTGGCGCCTGGTCCCAAATGCACAAAATCTTACAGCAGGGATGCGAAAAATAATTTAGACCACAATACTACGGAATGACCCAATATATTTTTGATGAATGACCCAATAAATTTTTGACAAATCCCCCCCCCCTTTCCAGAAAAGCAAGGGGTCGAGCTCAAAGGAAAACAAGCAAGCAAAATCCAATTTCCTTCCAAAGTCGGTGAACACATTTCTACAGATCAAATCCACAAATTAAACTGCCCGCAGTCTGCTACCGGGAAAACATCTTCAGGAACTTTGCTCCAGAAACATTATGAACATATATGCATACAGCTTGTTTCATGCCTTAGGCCTCTTTTGAGTAATGTCTTTTCTATGAATAATTCCGTATCGGTTCAAATGTACCAAGGGGGATTAAACTTAAGATTTGATGTATCACCCGGCACAACATTTTGGCATACAAACAATGTGAAGCAACATATTGATGTATCGGGCATGTTCTCAGACATCCGGCAGTGCAAGATGAAATATGAAGTGAATTTTTTTTTCTGGAACTTACGTTTTGTAATATGCGACGTTGCAACATAATACTGTTCTCAACAGAATTTATAGGTAGTTATTCAATGAGTATCTTTGTAAACCTGAAAAACAATCAAGCGAGGCCAAGTTCGGGCAAGGACCATTAGTCAACTAGTGGTTGATTTGTGACGTACCTTACGCCTGGGCACTGATAGCAACATGCGAACGTCTCTAGTCAAACGCTGGTCAAAATGTCATCGCAAAACTTCTGGATCCTGGCTCTCTGCTAGCGTTATGAATGCGCGCGGCTATTGGTTACCAGCGAAGCAACCAACCCCAGTAGGCTGGTTCCAAATAGTCGACTAGTGTAGTCAACCACCGTCGACTAGACAGAGTTCGGGCAAACGTTAGTTAACCATTGGTCAACTATAGTCCTTGCGCGAACTTGGCCCAAGTGTAATGCATAATACAAAAATGACCAAGCGGCATCTCTCAGTCCAGTAACTGACAAACAACTGGGAGATCAAAATTCCAGTCCTCTGTTTCTCAATATCTACATGTACATGTAGTATATAGTCACAGGTGTAAAGGTAAAAACTAGCCATGAATAGACCACGTTACCCACGGTGTATATGATGTCATGTCTGTCAATTGGCTGCCAACAGGCAAAACAGTGACTCAAACAAGTCTTACCAATGTTTTTCCTCATGTTATTGTGTCCACCTTTTATACCCTGCTATGTATACAAGTACATGTTTGCAGTGCATGCAGAGTGGCTTGCTTTCTTCCAGGGTCTCATGATCAAAACACTCAATGTTGTAACAAGTGCCCATGGCTTGCTGCACCAGTGTCATCAGTAATCTCATCACTTGAACTACGGTCGAGGCCGACAGACAAAATAGTTTGAGACCCAAACAAGTCTGTCCAACGTTTTTCCTCATGTTATTGTGTCCACCTTTTATACCCTACTACATACAAGTACATGTATGCAGTGCATGCAGACAGAGTAGCTTGCTTTCTTCCAGGGTCTCATGATCAAAACACTCAATGTTGTAACAAGTGCCCATGGCTTGCTGCACCAGTGTCATCAGTGATCTCATCACTTGAACTACGGTCCAGGCAGACAGACAAAATAGTTTGAGACCCAAACAAGTCTTTCCAACGTTTTTCCTCATGTTATTGTGTCCACCTTTTATACCCTGCTACGTATACAAGTACATGTATGCAGTGCATGCAGACAGAGTAGCTTGCTTTCTTCCAGGGTCTCATGATCAAAACACTCAATGTTGTAACAAGTGCCCATGGCTTGCTGCACCAGTGTCATCAGTGATCTCATCACTTGAACTACGGTCCAGGCCGACAGACAAAATAGTTTGAGACCCAAATAAGTCTTTCTAACGTTTTTCCTCATGTTACTGTGTCCACCTTTTACACCATGTACATGTACTGTACATGCAGTGCAGAGTGGCTTGCTTTCTTCATGGGTCTCATGACCGCAACACTCAATTTTGTAAACAAGTGTGGCATGGTCTACATACAATCCCATGGGTGGTTACACGAGTACCATCAGTGATCTCATCACTCTATGGTCCAGGCCCCAGGACCGACAGGCAAAATAGTTTAATACCCACACAATTTAATTTTTTTTCTTGTGTTATTATGTCCACCTTTCAAACCCACCTATATATATTGCCGTGAAGATTGGCTTTCTTTCTTCCTTCCTGGGTCTCATCATGACCAAGACACTCAATTTTGTAAGCAAGTGTGGCATGGTCTACATACAATCCCATGGGTCGTTGCACCAGTACCATCAGTGATCTCACTTGAGCTACGGTCCAGGATTACTTGGACATTGGCTTTCAGGAATGCTGATCAAACAGGGGCTGCCGTAAAGGATACTGTCTAGTGTAATGTGACACGTCTTTATCATTTTCCTCCTGCTTTGCTTGCATGAAAAATATTTGTAACTCAATTTATGCAGGAAGCTAGGTTTTGTTTGGTGGGTTCCATGGCACACATTCCAGTCTGAAGTAGTATTTTTATAGTGATAAAGCACTTTGCAGAGTAACAAAAACAATTTTAAAATCAGATTTCATGAATATGTTTTAAAGGATGCACTGGCTTCTTTTAACAGAAAGAAGAAACACGAGTAGACAATAAAGAAAAGTGAGGTAGCACTTATGCAAACTTTCTTCTTGTCATTTTAAGTGCTACCTTATTTTTCCATTTGATTAATCTGCCTGACTAACATGGCTGCCCACCATTTATAGTACACAAAACAGAATATGACAGGCCTACTTTACCTACTCCTAAGAACTAATATCTGCCTGAATTCTGTAATATTTTAAGTTTGCCATATTCTGAACTCCCCATCCAATTTTCTGCCAAGATTCTGACAGCAATTTCCTGACTTTTGGACTTGTTTCATGTTTTTTTTAGATATCGTGCAATGCTGATGCAATTTTGCAAACTCCTCCCATCTGTTTCATCTGTTTCAGAGGCAATTCAATCAAAGCCTAAATCAGCAACAGCAACAAAATATGCTCAAAGTGCACTGACACGTCAATGTTATTCAAGGCATTCCTTTCAAAGTGAACAAAAAAAGCAATTTTTGTCTCATTTCAGAGGGAAGAAATTGAAGACCACCTGTTTTCTAAAAAATCTTTCCAAAAAAGTGGCAGTGTTTTGTTCAGGCAAGGTCATATGATAGATCTTAAAGATGGAAGAATCTATTTTTAAAAAAAGACCTACAAGGACCACACAATGACCAGGAAATGTAAGATATTTGTAATATGAGAAAGCATTCTGTGGGAGTGTCATGATTTCCCTCGAGGCAATGCCCTTTCTCGTTAGGAAAATAAGTTATCAGAAATCTGACAAAATGACTGCAGAAAGGCTCCGGAGATCGTGAGGAAGTTCTCAGTATTAGGCTACTGTTCAGGGTTCATTATATAAGCGACGCTAGCACTGCAGCTAGATCAACACAATCTTCTGATGGGAATACGAAACAGTGCAAGATACTTTGGAGCAGTTAGTCACGCTGTCAGTTCTGCAAACCGTGCCTGTTGTGATAAACTCCCTTGATAGTGGCCTAGTTTGGCTAATCTTTTTTGGCAATGATATCAGATCAGGGAAAAGAAAAAAGCTCGACATAATGGCAATTCTAACTGGATCTGTGGTCCAGCTATATCTAAAAATGACATCCTTAGTGTAGATTTTACTTTGACAATGATAACTCAATAAGAGTTTTTGGTTAATTAAAGTGGGATATATAATTAGGTGTTGGGCTATGAGCCCAAAACCTACTGTTATTCTATGAGTTTACTATTGTTTTTGTTATTATTCTCCTCAGCAAATTCTTCTCCAGAACAGTTTGTCAAAATGAAAACATAGGTGAACTTCAATTGTCAATACATGAATGCACAACCCACTGAAGATGTGCTTTTTTGCAATGACGTCATCATGACGTCATCATGGGTCATGTGACGTCACTTCAAAAATTAATAAATTTATTCTTTGAAATTCAATATAAAATCAACCGTGAGAGACCGGAACTTGAATTTTGCGGGAATCGACATGATAAAACATGCTCTTCATATTATCGTGTGCACGTAA